TTATTTGCTTGGTTTAACTTCTCACAATGATTTGAGAACTTCAGTCCAATGTCACCATACACACCCAGATCCTTTTCACATTTGATTTACGCTAATGATGTTTGTTCATCACATTGGGACATACCTCCTTACTATTGGTATGACATAAGTGCATCCTCTTGCATTTCAAGCTTTGAATCTTAACCACCATATTTTTTACCACTCTTGAAGCCAAGAGATCTTTCTGTAATGCTTCAGTCCACAGATATTGAAGCTGCCACTAGACTAAAGGGAAAGCAACACTACCTCCTTGAAAGAAATCAATGAGAATGCTACCTAGTCATAATTGAGATGTTGGAATCTCACGAATGGGTAGATACAAGTGCTACAATTTATTTTATTGGAAAATAAATGCCGCCAATTTGTTATAACACAAGTGTCGGAAATCTGACCCACTGCCCATGACGAAATTATTAAAAACTGTGAACCACTATTGTGCAGGGATCTTTCTTGTTTCAAAGTGTTATTTTTATTTATTTTTCATCATATTCACCACTTATCAGCTTACTAGCCGTTTGGGCGGTCTATCCAGTGTTAGTACAGGAGGAAACTGGGGACTGGGAAACCTGTGGTGTTTGATAGGGTCACACTTGGTAACACCCTTCTCATGTGTGTCCAGGCTGAGGCTCGAACCCTTGACATATTGGTGAGAGTTATGAGCGTTATCTACCACTGTACCACCAACACCCCTTGCGGGAATTTATTTTTCACAGCAACGATACTGTATAGTACTCCAACACTTGGTCTCTGATTATAACATTCACAAGTGTAGGGAAAGTTGAGCTAATGGACTGGATTCAAATACAAACTACAGTGTATTCAGTAGATCCTAAGAATAACTAAATAGGCACTTGAACACTCTCCCCATCTACATTGACCCCTACGCCCCAGTTGAGGTTCCAGAGCGCGCGGCTTTTCGCGCCATTGTTTGAATGCCCAGTGCAGGTTATTATGTTCCAGCATGACTATTTGATGGTCACGCACACATGCAGGGTAGCGTGGGTGGGCTCAGTTTGGTTAGTATGCATTAGTCTGTCGCCAAACTGCGTGTGTGGTTGAGCACTTTATGAAAAATATTGCAAATAAAATAAATTCTATATGAATTATTTATAGGAAATAAGTATTATGATCAGTAAATATATGCATTACTGACCATCCCGGACGCAAAGGCAAGCAGAAAATGGCCGGTAAGTGCGTAGCAACCACGAGCGCTAGCTGTCCCCTTATCTCCCTCGCCACTGTGGCCTCGGGAAGTTTCTAGAGGGTCAATATATAGTTTTTCTTACTTCTTTTTGATTGTTTTATCATTTAAAAAGGTTAAAAATTATTTTTTGGAATAGCCGATTTTTCTTGATTTACCCCGCGTGGGGGGTACGGCCGACGGGACCCTAGTCCAGGGCGTAGGGGTTAACATACTTATTGATACAAATGAATATTTAAATAATTAAGGTACTGTCCTCCTGGATAATAACTTCTATAAGAAGGGTTACTTGTCATAAGACAACATAGAATTGAGATTACAACCCATAAGTGGTAGTGTAATGTAAACCCCCCAAATGAACTATTGAAATTTATTATTATACTTTATATAAATAAGGTAAATAGGTAGCTAATAATTCCTATTAAAAGTCAACTCTTATACTGTACTTACATACTTAAAGTACCACTGTAACACAAGAATTTTAGGTGGTCACTAAAAAGTTCTTATTCATGTTATACTGTACTAGAAGTCTAGACTACTAATATAATGATACACAGAAAAGTACATAGCTAATGCAGGTGTAGTCCAATTATCATGTTGATAAACTGAATCCCATCACCTTGTTAAAAATGTTCTATGAAAACATCCTAAACCCAACCATAATAATGTACTAATTAGATTGACTATGTACAATTCCCCTGAATCCCAAACAAAGAAAAAATAGTACCTGTACTGTACTTTGATATTCCCAAGAGGAATATGGCTACCACCCACCAGCTGAAAGTCATATAAATACTGTATTTCAATTACTAAGTCAATATTGTAAGAAATAAGTAAAAATTATGACATGTCTCTTTAATAATAAAGCCCTTAGCTGTGAAGTGTTGTGGTGTGTAACCCAATATCCTCACAATCAACAGAAATTTTGAGAATTAATATCGTGTATTGTGTGCGGGTTGACGGTACCTGCCAATAGCATATCAACCTGTCTGTTAATTGGTGCACGAATACCAACTAAAATTTATAACAAATTTAATATAAACAAATTATTAAGAATTATAATAATCCTTATTTGGATTTTCTTAGATGATGATAGTTTAACTAATTGCACTTAACAACTCAAATGCTAGCCTCTAATCACCATTGGATGGGTGAGTTTTCCAACAACCAGTACTGTAACTTGAGCCCAATGAAGGACGGGACCTCTTTATAAATTAGAAAGGCAAATATTTTCAGTATGCTGCCCAGGCATTTGTACAGAACATTGATACAATATAGATACTGTACTGTATGTACACCCAGTAAAAAAAGTATCTTTTAGGAAGGGTCTAATGAATTTGGAACTGAACAATCCTGTTGTCTCGCTAGGATTGGTAAATGTGATTGCGAGACATTTCTTACCTATTATGGTTGGCCTAATTTAGTTATTTCATTCAATATATAAAATTAAATCATTGCATTATGATTGGTGAATAACAGTAACCCTCGTGAGCCTTTATCAAAAAACCTTCATTCGTGGTGTCATTTTGTTTCGCACAAGAATTGTAAAGATACTTTTTTACAAGAGTGTACATCACATATCAAAATGGAGCAAATTCCCATTCTAAGGAAACAGTTTGGGGTCAAACTCATTCCATTAAACTTTTTTTTTCTTCTGTAAAATGGGAAATGGCTGAGATCCAATTACAGTACAGGTATGTTACAATTTCTTTCACTCTGCCTCGAATAACAAATTATATATATACAATACCCATAGTACAGGACTGTATTGAGATTTTCAACTAATCAAAATCTTCAAAACATACTTTCTCTTTCAATTAGAAATTAATGTATGTAACTACTTATATACTGTGCAGCACATTCAGAATGAAAAACACCAAAAATCCATCTAAAAAAATTAGAGAAGTAATTTGGGTTTCAAAACAAATAAAATATTCTGGGTCATTAGGGCAAGTAACTACTGTACAGTAAAAAAAAAAAAAAAAACGGATCATAAATCAGCATGTTGAGGATTTCATGAAGTTATATTTTGAACCAAATCAAATTTTTTACCAAAATGACAAGGGGCACCCATTGGTCATTTTCTGGGGCAAAAACAAACACTTTCTTTTTGGATGAGAAATTAATGTTTAACTACTTTAGTACATGGTACAGTACATACATAACAGGAAAACACCAAATATCAGCCTAAAAAATTACAGGAGGCTAGTACAGTACAGACAGTACCCCTGTATTAGGGCAGCAAAATTTATTAAATTTTTCCAAGACTCATAAGACAAGTATTTACCAAAAATTATTATTTTTTACTCTAAATCTTTAATCAGCATGTAGAGAAGTATCTACATTAACATTCTATCTTTACCATATGGCTTGGGACTGAAGTCATTCTGTAAAAAAAATTCCTTAAGACCAGTATTGGGCAGTGCACCCTGAGAATTATAGTGAAATGCTGAACTACACAAAAATATGAATAACCTTGAAATTAAACAATACATATATGATCCTGTAATTACAATAGGTGATTTGTATAGTGTATACAGTACAGTATTGTATATAAAAAATACATAATTACTGTTCACTCTACAGTAATTATTGTCCAAAATTTGTTGGTGTTACAAGAATAATATGATTGTTTAATTACAATGATGGAACTTTATTTATATTGCAGTACATGTATACAATATAACATCCTTATACAAGATTCTGTACTATATATCATTGCATGAACATTTGGTATTAAAGTTGTACAGTATTGTGCTTGAAGGTAAGTTGCGTGTTACAGTACTGTATCATACAAATGGCCGTTTTCTGAGTCCTGCAATTTTGTGACATCATGAGTGCCAAGTGCTGTACCCATCGGCCTAAAACTGTAGTTCACTAACTTCTGTCTTCACACTAATCACTGTCAGTTTTTAGGTACAATATAATAAAATACCCAAGAAAAATCATACTGTCCTGTACTATTTAATTTTTCTTGAGTAACATAAAAAGTGCAACTCTGGCAGCAATTTTGGGTTTAAGTGGCTTTTGTGGGTGATTAGCTTTTTTATAAATTAGGGCTATTTACAGCAAAATGAGCACCTTTAATAAGAGCAGGGATGTTGAGCACCAGTACTTGGCAGCCCTCTTTAATATGGGTAAGAAACTCAATACTACCACGGAAAACCTGATCAAAACAGGCAGGGGAAGCTGAACACCAATGTAGCATCCTGAAAATGTGGGCAGCAAGAGATATGCAGACGAAAGATGAATTACACTGAGAAAGGGCTTTACTAAAGCCCTTGGTCCATCCTTTTATGAATAAACCTTATATCCTGACCTCCAACAAAAGTAATAAAATATTATTTTAAGCTGTTTGAATCATTGGATGATTTTGTACATTTGTTCATGAAACATTATTATTCTAACAGGAAACCACTTACTAGATACAAGGGGCAGTATCAATAATTTTTCCAGCAGTGGTACATAGTGGCTGTGTCAATAGCCGTGTCAATAGGGGCTATTTCAAAGGATTTTTGCAATACACAGTAGATTCATAGCAGCCATAACAACAGCCTAATGTAACCAAACCTACATATCTTATGGATTATAATGATAATTTTTGGCATCAAAGCACCTCTTGCAAGTGAATTGTAGGAATATCAGCCCCCCCAACAGATGCTGATAATCTATCAACCCATGGAAGAGGTTATCTTAGTTCACAAAACAAAAAAATACAGTGGAAGAGGACTTGTCAAGCTTTAGGTTAAGAAAACACTACTGATGACTAATGACATATATATTGGTAAGTTTAGGCATGATAGCCAACAGGACAAGACAACACAGAGTATGGAGCTGGAGAACTGTGGGAATGTCTAGGATGCACCAGCCATATGCCTGCTCAACAAACTGCTGTCCAATGTCCTTGTAATAAAGTATAAATGCCTCATATCCTACCTGAGGCAGCAGTTAAGATAAAATTTTGTGACAGCATTTCTAATCCTTTGAAGTACTTTAGTGTGTTTACATTACTACAAATCATTACATGATTTATCACACTTTTTATAATTTAGAAAACTGTGCTTCCAGTTGTCAGGCATATAGCTCTTAGTAAAACAGCTTAAAACTTAGGAGTCAAACCAGACAGGAAACTTTGGAAATATGAGCTTGGTAACCCTGTCAAAACTGAAGGACAGTTTAGTCTAAATAAGCCTTACACTATATGTATATACTGTACAACCAATCTTTTCAACCAACACTGAAATAAACAACAATTCTATAAACCATTATATACAGCTAATAAAAATAAAAAACCAAAATCAGTCTTTTCCAGGTTTTACCTTGAAGGGAAAATTCGTTGAATATGATTTAAATTATGCCCTTGTAATAGTCTCCCCTTCTCAAGTCTGAGTGGATAAAAACCACAGTTAAAAAATACTGAGTCAGTTTCTTTCAATTACCACTTTAACAAATGTCCATACATATTTCTAGATATTTTAAAGGAAACAAAAAATCTACAGAAATGCATAACACATGGGGTGTGACGTAAATAACATCCCCTTAGACGTTGTTGAGTAATGTGGGCCATCTATGTGGCAGCAACACGGTGCAACACACCAAGGTGGTGGGAATCATGACTACTAAACATTATAACATATGTGTTAAGTACATTCACTGCCAGCCATATATGGGCAGTTATGCCATGACTTAAATACTGAAGCCTTACTAAAGAGTTGATCAATATTAACCAATCTGTAAGTGTCAAATAGAAACTCATGTTTCTGGTAATGAGGCAACCAGTCCAACAATAAGGCAGAGGCCAAATAAAGCCCAAACGTTGGTGGTAGCCCGGGATTGCCTCCATCAATATAATATAGGCATCATATAACTTTTAAGTGCTTGCAACCTGCATCTCCCTTCAGGCAAATCAACATTTACTGCTGGCTAACCATGATCAATGTTCTCAACAGATTCTGGTGTATGCTAACTTGCTTCGTTCATGTTTATAATGGATCAATCTGTGTTGCCTCTCCTAAAAATATTAACTTTTCTAAAGACTGACTTTTGACTAGAAAAACATGGACACAACCACAGCTATTAACAGTTACACCAGATTTCATTGAGATCATATTTTTAATAACATAAAACAATTAAATGTGTCTTTTCAACAAAACCCTCAATAATCACAAAGCATAAAATGCAAGCACTACCTATTACCAGGTTTTCTGTATCTGCAATTTCAGTGTCATCATAAATCAGTGCATCCTACTACAAGATTATAACAAGTCTTTGTCCCAGCATTTATCCTCATTAAAGATATTTTATCAGGCTTCAGAATTCAAGTTTGTGATTAACTGTTTATTAACCAAGTCCCTCCTAACCAGCTGTCTATCGTTAAAGTTTGCAGCAAACTAGCTCAGGATCTTGCCAGATAAGCACTTGGAGAGTAAGTTCCCAAGTCACTACCTGAAAATTTCCCATATCAATAATCAAAACTCACTAGGGTGTATAGCACTGCAAAAACAAACTTATACTCTGTTACAACATTTTACACTAGTCTTTCTCCCAACTTCCTCTTCCCAACCCACATACTCACAAATGGCACAACTTTTGTGTTTTCTAAACCTGTGTCATACTCAGGAGTTCAAAACTGCTACTTGCCATAAAAGCAGCAAAACTACAGTTATTGCTTCCAGCATTAACACTACATAACTGATAAATTATACTTTAAAACCATGTAAATATTCATTGCATAATATAAGCGTTTTGCCAGCAAGATGCCACTATTGTAAAGCTAATGTCTTATATGACCAACTTACAAAACAATTAAGTACAACCAAAAACTTAAATGTAAACACAATAGGTTGACACCGCTGGCTGCCGCTCTTGCTTAGGTGCATCACCTTAAACCTAAGTTTATCAATAATACATTTCAATATACATAAACTAGATCACTGAAATAGAGTTTCCCTACTGATCAGATTCACATGAGATGTTTGGGCATAATCAGGTGAATCTAAGTAACAACTGGAATGTTTTGATATATATTATGTCAACGATCACAACTTATTTTTCAAGATGCCGTAGGAGAAACAACTTCTAAACGAATTTCTGAATTATCCTATATGTAAATACAGAGAGAACTGTTAATACAAACACTGCAGCAATTCTACATTAATCAATAAAACCTTGATCATTATGAGAGTCCAATGTTTACATACTGTACCTGAAAATTCTCTACTAATTGTTTTTTAATCTTCTACCACAAAGATTTAAGTGAAAAAATTGAATCATATATTTAATAAATGCAAAGATTACTTTCTTTGACCTGTACTATTCATTGTTCAAATATATCTTTTACTTTAAGACATGAAAAACAATAACTTCCAATTTAACAACTGTATTCAGTGAAAACCCTTGTATAAAATTATAGTTAACCAGAATTTACATATCCAATGATTCACCCCAACTTCAGTCTATAAAATATCTACCATAACCTGTCTACAGTACAGGTAATGGCTACTACTCTTATTATAATAATCATAAGCTTGGTCTTCAAAGTCAACAAACTAGCCTACTTGACTACACCAACGATATGAAGATCAACGACTAAAAAAATACCAACCGCCACGGGCACAAATTGGAATCAATGAGGGAAAAGTGCGGAGGCTAGAGAAGAAGATACTGTACTTTCAAGAGATAAGTGTTTAAGCTGATGACATCGACATGAAGTTAAATAGAGTCCGTCACGTCAAGTTGGGTCATGATGGTACAAAATCTGGCTTATAACTGTAGGATATGTATTATCATAAAAAATTAATATATATATAAATTTACTGTTAATTACATGTGAATATTTTTCATGTATAAGCATCTAAGAATATATATATATATACATATATATATATATATATATATATATATATATATATATATATATATATATATATATATATATATATATATATATATATATATATATATATATATATATATATATATATATATATATATATATATATATATATATATATATATATTATATATATATGTATTCTTTTCTCTACATCTTTGCAATCTTTTTCTTTGTTTTTATAATATTCAATTATGAGGCGTCATGCACGTACAATACTGATGTTCAAAATTAAGTGTCAATATAAAAAAGAGCACCCAGTCATGTGTTCTGTCAGAAAGTCATATGATGATGGGTGAGCAACACTAGTTTCTGATCATAAAACAAGATAAATGAGCTGAGGACCATGCATGACTTCTGATAAAGAGGGAGTAAGCCCAGGCTAATACGGTTGGTGAGAAAGTTTTAAAGATTGCATATGAAAAGCCTAACGACCCTGTTAGGCAATTAACCATGACCCAGCACACACCAAGATAAACTAGGTCACAGATAGATCCTCTCATTTGTGATGCAATGAGTGATTTTGAGCTCGATTTCTATCTCTGGGCCTTTCCAGGTAACAGGTAAAATTGTAAGCCCTTTGAAAAGTGTTGAGGGCTCAGAATGGCTCATTACATAACATTTTTTTTTTTGCAGCTCCAACCTGCCACCACACATATGAATGATGCCTGCTATTGGTGCATCGCTAAATAATGCTATCAAAATAAGAGGGATGAAATCAAGTTTCACCAAATGGTCATAAACTTCAAATTTTCATGGTAAAATTTGAATAACTCTAAAGTGAAATTTTCTGAAGTTTGGAGGTTAATAAATACAACAAGTCCTTTAGAAAGTTTGTAGGTAGACTACCCCAGCAAACTTTTATACTTTCAAAACATGGAGAAATTATGTCTTGCAAACTGCTGAGTTAGCGATGCACTACAGCCAAAGTATGCCACATAAGCAGATTGAACCTCTGGCGTCACTTCAGTATGGCTCCATTTGTGTGTGATGTGGCCACTTACAAAAGCCCCAAAGAAGTATTACCTAGAGCTCATACTAGCTGACTGTGACACATGAAGGATGCATGGATAAGAGGGATGCAACTAGCACTAATCTCTAGCATCTGAAATATCTAAATGCTTAAAATACAGAAAATTAAACAGTAATACGCAAAGAACATGGGGCACGATATTTTGTTTGTTAATCTGAGGTAAATGGAAATAAATCTAAAGGGGGCAACAGATTACATAAAGATAATAATTACAGTAACAATACATACAGTATAATGTATATAAAAACTACTTATTCCAATGCAAAATTACACAAAATTTTCACCCAATAAAAGTATTTTAATTAAAGTTTTCAATCATTAGAGTCTATTACAAAAAAAAAATATCTACATCTACTCCAGAATCAACCACTTCAGAAACAAATAGTGCCTCAGAATGCTACTTAATTACTAACCTGTTAATTTTGTGGGTGAGGGTATATAAAGATAACAATCCTTCATATTTTGTTTTCTGCCATTTAAAAGAACTCACATAGTCCTCAGTAAAATTTCTTTGCCAAAGTTTCAAGTCAGAAAATTATTTTACTGAAGTCAAATAAAAGTTCCTTAACGTGGAATATTTTTTTTCGTGCCGCATAAGCTTTGCGTCAGACAGGAAGGAGAGCAAGCATGAGATCAATGATGGGAATTGACGGAGAGAGGGGAGAAGGATCTGGAGTGGGGGTGGCGGTGGAGGGTGGGGAGCGGGGTGAACATGGGGATGGTGGAGGGGGAGGGGGTGGAGATTTTCTGGAGGAAAGGGATTCAGAGGAGGAGGATTTGGAGGAGGAAGGAGAGGCTGGGTCATGGGGGGGTCACGTGCTTCAGCTGAGATTACGAAGATCACTTAAGAATTCCTTTGGCGTCAAGATGTGAGTTGACCCTGCAAAATGGAGAAAGTAAATTAAGTGTTACAAAATAAGTTTAATTATACACTATAAATATTGCAAAACCTACTTAATCCATGAAGTCAGGTTCTGAAAGATCTTATAGACTGTAAATTTTATAACTTATAAACTGTGCATATGAATAAATGTGGGCAATGTTCTGGGTCCCAATACATCACCCTAAAATTCAGTTTATTCCCCAAAAATAAATATTTTCACTTGATGCATTAAGTAGACTTGGAAAGTACTGGGTTAAAAATAAATGGGAAAAAACTTAAGCATAATTCTTGTACAACTGCACTTAACAAGAAGACTAAAGCAAAAACAAAAATAAAATAAAAAAGATAGCATAAAAATTATACTGTCACTGTCATGTACTGGGCGGGTCTTATTACCCCATACCCTCACCCTAGTCTGGCCATGAGCGGCTACAATTAACATTGGATACACTTGGGTTATTAAAAGTCCAAGATTTACACAAGTACAATAACCAGAATTCTCTTTTCACCAGACTGGCCCCAATAATCTGGATCAGGGAAAGTCCTGAGACACTCCCAAAAATCCAGATACAAGTACTGTATTTGCAAAATCTGAACCCCACTCCACCACCATTAGTCCAATAGCACAGGGGTTCACTAAATTCAGATTTCCCTACCCTCTCTAGTAGGTGTTAATATAAGGATGTCTTACCAATGATGACCTCCCAGTTCTTGCCAGACTTGGTAACTTCAAATGCAGCACGCATCTCAGAGTAAGTAATACCACCAACAACAAATATTAGGAGTCGTGGCATATTCTTGACAGCAGTTGCACTCTTGTCTTTGTGCCAGTTGTATCTCACACTGTAAAAATAATGATTCATTTTATCTCTCTATTACCCATGAAATGTTTTAATTTCCATTCCCAATTCACACAAAAATGTGACTAAGTAAAAACATTCAACAAGAGAACGCTAATAATGATATCATTGGAGCAAGATTTTACAATATGATTAAAAAAACATCCAATTCAGATGGAGGTAGGAAGGACTGTATAGGCATATTGTTTCCCCTGGTTACTCTGCTGTACAACCCAAAACATATCAAATAGAACTACCCTGTATTTCTATATCATATAAAAAATTTCTTTAATCAAAGTACTGTATTGTACAATTCTTCATATACATTTAAACTATCAGGGAGCTAAAAGAGCAGTACAGGTGTTCCTCTACCTGCGAACGAGTTACGTTCCTGAGGCTTGTTTGTAAGTCCAACTTTACTCTTGTAGATACCAAACATATTGTAAAAATGAAAAGATTATGGATATTTAGTACAGCTATACCCTTTAATACAGCCTTAAAACCTGGCTCACTCTTCTCCTCTTAGGTAATGTTTGTTCTATCTGGAATTTTGTAAGTTGAACGTTCTTAAGTAGAAGAGCACCTGTACTGTTACATAAAACTTTTGATGAAGAAATTTACATGAAGCTTTGGTCATCAATTAGTCAGAGAAAACAAAATGATGTTTGGGTTATCTAACACATAAAGCAATCCTTACTCACTAGCTGTTCTTGTAGGCAATTCAGAAGAGGATTTGCAAATGTTAAGGAATGAGTTTGGAAAAGTGTGTACAGTACATTCTTATGTTCTTATATATTAGCTCAAATGGAGAGAGAATGGAAGAAATAGAATATGACATATACAGTATCTGGGAGTGGATGTATCAGTACAGTAAATGAAATGAAGAGCAATGAACTGAACTAGAGTAATGGAAGGATAAAAAAGAACAGGCGGACTGGGTAAAGACTAGAGGAAAGAAACTGTCAAAGGGGTCAAAGATGGGAATGCACAGGGGAATTGTTAGGGTGATATTTTAAATGGGTGTGATGCACATGTTATCATTCCAAGAAGAAACATTAAATCAGAAGAGAAAACTATTGTATAATCCGAGTTATCCAGCACCTATGGGGATTGATAGGTGCCGGATAAAGAGTTTTCCAGTTAGTTGAAACTCACTCTTATGATTCCCCAATAAGTCCCACAACACAGTGCTATGGACCAACCTTGCAAATTAGGTATCTCAGAAAAACAGACTTCTTTTATTCCGCTCTATATAAATGATGTGGCTTAGAAATAAAGATAATATAATATAAAAATATAAAATAATAAAAATGAAGAGCATGGGTCGTGTGGGAAGTGAATGTGAGTGTAGGTGGTGGGCTATAAATACGTCTCCGAGCTGCCAGCTTAGCCGCTCCATGAAACTATAAATGTTATCAAAAAATCATTACAAAACTTTAAAATAGCTTAGAAATCAATACTATATAAAACTATAAAATAAGAAAATGAAGAGCATGGGCGTGTATGTATGAGAAGTGAATGTGTGTGGAGGCAGTTATAGCCAAGGCTATAACTACATCGCTGACGCACCAGCCCAGCCTCGTATATTGTTGCTTGTAACGAAACTATAATATTTTTTTTATAAAATCATTACTATACTCTAATGTGGCTTAGAAATATGGAAAATATGTGTTATGAGGCGGTGGGTGACTGGACTAAAACTGTGTGGCTGTGTTCCCTCCCGATGTGACGTAACGGCATACACACAACTAGTGCAGTGGCAACCACACGTCTGTGAGTCAGCTTGTTGACCGCCTGAACTGTGTCATGTTACTCAGAGGATGATGGTTTGAGTGTGGAAGTTTTTTTTTTTACATAAGTATTTTATAATATGCTATATAGTACAGTACAGTACTGTACGTATATTGATGTTATTGTTTATAATCGCAATATATATGGCAACTCGCCCCTGTTGCATGTGGTATTCAAACTTACAATTCCAGCTGATTTTGAAGGAATTTTATTATTTTTATTATTTCATTTTGGTGACGGTAAGCTCAATCTACCAGTTGCTCGGATACCATATAACTGGGATTCTACTGTAACGTGTTTGAGCAATATAAGAAATAAAGTGCAATATATAGATAGCAGAGAAAAAAAAATACTGCACAGAAATAAAGATATGGGTGTGAAAGAAATGCTGGACAGAGAGCACATCAAGGTCTGCTCAGGTGGAATGGACATACTGTACTGTACTGATAGAATGGGATATGAAAGATTGGTAAACAAAGTGTATAATTTAGAATTGGATGGAACAAGGCAGAGGGGAAGAACCATGAAGGTGATGGAAATGTGGGGTGAAGAATGTATTAGAAGGGAGAGGATGAACATCCAGAATGTAGCAGTTTATGTGATTAAGCAAATGGCAAGGTGTCAAGTGATTTTGGGGAAAGGTACCCGGTATGCTACTAATAGGTGTGGTTGGCCTTGTGTGAAGCAGTAGATATAAACCAGATTTGTGGTCTTGTATAAGGAAAGTACTCTTCTTCCTGATGTGACCATATCCATTAATTTACTTAAAACTTAAAAGAGATACAAATAATTCTGAACATCAGCTACCTGGAAGGTGCAGCAGTTCTGGGTATGGCAGAAGATCGCCCAGCAAGGAAGGGGAAGTGCCGTTCTTCAAGCTTATTTTCAATAATGTCTTCCATTATATCTTTGATCACAGGTGTCCATCGTGACATCTGGTAAGTCTGTTCTGTGATGCGCTCCTTACGGGCCACCTGATAAGGCCTGCGGCCACGATTTCCACCCTGCAACATCAAAAGTTTTATTTACATGCTTAATTTATAGTCTATGGGTCATCAAAGAGTGATAAGTGTGATATCTCTATGATAACATCTGTTATTACCTGCTATAGTCTGGGGGCTTGCTATATGCAAGCACTAGTTCATACTATTCAAATTCACACTGCTCCATTAATAATTGTATAATCTATTCTTTATACAGTATGTAAAAATAATCTTTGTGACGTATGCGCATACCAAAGAAATACCGGGTAATAAACTTACATCAACAATAACACTAATTCCCAAATGTGCCATATTGTTGATTGTGTCTTTCTCTGCAACAGGAATCTGAGCATGCTGAAGTAACTTTTCTAGATTTTCATTTGAGACACCATTCTTGGCCAAGATGTAGAGTAAAATGACACGTAGTTTGTCTTGGTTCTCTACTGCCTGGTCCAACAATATAGGGACAATGTTCTTCATGTGGTCTTTGATCTTTTCACCTGCAGAAACAAATCAAATACTGTATCGGTTCTCATTCTAGTACAAGTATGGCAATCAGATATAGGCATAAAATAAGAATACATCAAATAATAAAATCATGTAAAAAAATTATTTTGCAAAGGAAAATTGGCATTGAATAACTAAACAGGATATGAATTAAGAAAATTCTGGATAACTATTGAACTGGGAAGAAAATGACAGTAAGGACACATGGTCAAGAGGGTTATTTCCTGGGAAGGATTAGCGCTGTAAATTCTTTATTTTGAGGCATTGTACTTACAGATATTTCTATTAACACCTACAGTACTATTTATTTAACAATATGTATCAGTGCCTACTGTCCAATAATTACCCTATGGAACTGAACTTTGTTCTCTATTAAAGGTTCACTGTACATTAATTCAATATCTCCAGATACACTTGACCACATACATAATGTCATTCTAATGCTTGGCTAGTCTTATTCACATGGCCAATAATTTGTGATGCTTGCTTGTAGTACCTGTAAAAACTTTTTGTTCAGTAGGCTCCCCATAAGCTTGTTTTTCAGTGCATCTGATTTTGAACAAAGTCATGATGCGTTTGTTTAAAGCATTAAAAAATTATTTAAACACTTCATCTATGGAACAGAAATCTATCTGCATCTTTTTCCTTGATGGATTGTGGCAGGTTGTCATGTATGATGTTAAGACTGGTAATGCCAATGGGGCATGGAGGGTGTCTGGCTTTGATATTCTGCTTCCAGACAATGAAGCAATTGACAAGATAGTTCAAAGGATTATATCATGGCAATAAGTAGATCCTTATGTCGGGAGAATCTAGAGGCGTCCACCACTCCACCAGCATCCCAACTTGTATGACACTATGCTGGGGCGAATGCACAACCACTTATTCGTTCTTGCAAAGCAGTCATGTTTACTTAATTGTGTTATGTCCAATTCACATCTGCATTGTAAAAAACGTGTTCCTAAATACTGTACAGAACATTCAGTGCATTATAACCATATCCTTTATGAAAACATGCATTATAGGAGAACAGACTGTACCTTCAGCATCAGTGCCCATGGCCAAATCCTGCTCAACTTTGCACAACTTGTCTGTGTATCCCTGGTATTTCTTCATGCAACTTTCAGCAAGATGTATATGTGTTGCATATTTGGAAAGTTCCTTCTGATGCTGTGGCATCTTCTTAATCATCTGTGATAGGTCTTTCATTGAAGCTTTGTCTGAACCCATGTTGCGCTTTGTGGCCATAAATTCTGGAATAAATAAAGAGATTTAATTTTATATTGAATACAAAAATAATAATACCCTGCACAACAATAAAAATAAGAAAAAGTTTGATGCTAAAAAATACTTTACAATAGAGCCAGTAAGGAGCAACTCTCTCTCTCTCTCTCTCTCTACCCAATAAACATAATGTACCATATTTGAGTATACTATACTCCTGTACCTGTACAGCAGTATGGTATATGTCAATAAATGCATGCAATACCTACCTTTTGTCTTCTTTGTAATATTCTGTGACACAACAGCAATATGTTGGTGGCGTAACTCCATCCACAAATCATCATTTTCGTCCAAGAGGACCTCCTTCTCACTCTCACCCTGAGTTGCCTCATACTTGTACACATCATTTTCAATGTCCAGAAGGTCATAAGCCATTGCCTAAAAAATCAATTATACAGTATTAGTAAAATGTTGTGGGTGTCACATGGATTGCATATTAAAAAATCACTGACAAAAATATATAGAAAACTTAAATATGTAGATCCAAAAATTTCGTTTTTGGCAGAACCTAAAGCCAGGCAGCCTCTCATAATACAGGGTGGCATTTGGAGTGTTTAGTGTCTTTGAACAGCCCCCAGTTAATTACTCCAAGAATTATATTTTAAGCCCTTTATAGACAGAAGGCCTTATGAGTACCTGTCTGTCCAATCAAAACACATCACAGCTCTTCACTGTCTTTAGCAATTTGCCATCTTTTTTATTCACTGTCCAGTTGACTAGGCCAAGATACTCAGGAGGAAGGATGGTATCCAAGCCACATAGCCACAAGATGTGCTAAAAAATATTGATGTTTCAAGATCAATTCCATTTTTGTGACATGTCTTCTGACAGATGGCTGCATCTAATCCAAAGCCAGCTACTACTCCAGAAGGAAAAGTGGTGCTATAAAAAGGAAGCAGACTGGATGAATTATATAGAAGAGGAATGAATGAAGTAAGGTGCTGTGAGATGATACAGTATTGGACAAATTAAATGTATGCCAGAGAAATGATGGTAAAGACGTGAACAAAGGCATTATTGAAGATGCAAAGGGTAGAGGGAAACAGCCCGCATCATGGGAAGAAAAAGTTACACAATAGATTAAATAACAAATGGTGAAGAGGAAAAGGGAAATAGGGAGGGCAATGGAGATATGCTGTAATGGGTTGACCTGCAAGAACCTTGAATTACAGGATGCAACCTTCAATTACAGTATGTGTATGAAATAATATGTACAAATAGAAAAAGTAACATATACAAAACAGAGACTGGTGTATAAAAACATTAAAAACTGTTGCATAATTGCTGACCTGTAAAGTGAGCTCATGTAGCAATGGAGAGATACAGTCAAATCCACGATCCAGGATAAGAAGCTGGGAACGTGCCTTTTCAGGCCCTTCTCCCATTGAGGGCTCATCTGCCTTGTAGCCATCTAACTTCTGTTGCACCAGCTGAGCAAGTTCTACATTTCGCTCAAAGTCCCCACGGTACCTAATATAAAACAAATACCAGTCATCAATTTATGTAATAAAAAATATGCCAGGTATAAAAGTTTTAAACATTTCATATGAATAAACATGGTGACAGCAGGAGCTTTGTTTTTGTTTTGTTTTTACAAGTACATATGACAAAAATAATAAATGGGGATTAAATCCTGAAATTCCATTGTATGACTGACTGGCGAATAAACAGCTCATGATTACTATAGCTCTCTAGATCCCTGTAATGAGTTATCTTGTTATGCTTTTGAAAAAGTATCACAGATGCTCACTGAACAGCCACTTTTCCAACCATACCTGGATCTCTCAGGTCCAAAAATTTCCCCGACCAATCCCTTGATATATTCACCCTCACAGAGCTAATGGGTGTTAGGCTAGCTACAAAAGCAATTCAAGCTGCTTGCACTACATGCCCTGGGAGAAGTGTAGGAAGCCGAGCTATTTGTACATTTCTCAATCATAAGAAGGGATTTCAGAATTCAATCCCACATTTATGATTATGATGGTTCATTAACAGCTCATGATAAGCAAAAGTCTAATAGAAATGGAAGGTGAAGGAACAGGGATATTTGATATGCATCCCAATCTCTCGCTCTTTCTCTACCAATAGTGGTGTCCCACAAGGTTCTGTTTTTTCACCTACTCTCTTCCTTTTTTTAATTAATGATTTACTTCACACTACAACTAATTCTATACATTCTTACGCTGATGATTCTACTCTACACTCTTCTTCACATTTTCCCCTTCCCCCTAATTCTCAAACTAGATCTGTTTCTAGAGCTGATATCATTACATACAGGTAGTTCTGCTATAACGCGATAATTGTGTTCTTGTAAAATATCGTGTTATAGAAAATCGCGTAATAGAAATAACAGGGCTTATGGAGAAAATAGGGTTAGGTGCAGATTACTCGAAATCGAAAAAATTTAGTAGTTAGCCTAACACAAAGGATAGCACGGTCTAAATAAATGTTACATTCATATCTAATAATGAAATCATACAGTAAATGTAACACTTTACTTGATGGGGGAGAAGGGTGATTTTGAGGTTGATAAAATCGAGTTTCTCTTCTAGTGTTATATCCTTTCTTTTACGATCATCACCAGGAATTTTATCACCGGAACGCTTCTTGTTGATATTCTTCTTTACTATATTCACAAAATTGGAGAAATAGTAAGCAAAAATCGCGTTATAGCAAACAAGCGTTCGCGTTATACAAATATCGTTCCTAATTCATAAATCGCGTAAGAGCAAATTCGCGTTATCAAAACACGCGTTATAGCAGAAATCACTGTATATCAATGCGGATCTGTGCAGCATCTCCAAATGGGGAGGCAGAAACTTAGTTAAATTCAATGGTAATAAAACTCAGTATAGTGGGGCCCCCCAAATTTAGGGGGGGTTAGGTTCTCAAAATGGCCGCGCATAACATTTGCGAACGGAGGGGAGGGGAGGGAAGGGGGGGTTGTTACATTTTACTTGTGTACAAAGAAATGTATACCGTATTCCCTTTATGTATTTGCCCGTAAGACAATTATTTTTTACTTGCAATGTATATACTGTAATGTATGTATGTATGTATGTATGTATATGTATATGTATGTGTGTGTGTGTGTAGAGTGTAGACAGACAGACACACACACACAAAACACATACAAATAAATATTAATTGGAAAATCCTCTCACAAATAATCAGAAACAAATTTATTAAATAAATGTGAGTCTATCCTCAAGTCCGTGCTTTATTACTTTATAAATAAAGCACATATATTTACAATACAGGTAAAGGAAATTACTGTCTCTAGAAAAAATAGCCCGTCCCAGCCGCGAAAATGCTGGCAACTTTAAAACAACCCAGAGTCATTTTTGGGTACAACCAGGGTGTCATCCGCGAATAATAGAGGACCGTGAAATAAAAATCCGCGAACTTGGGGGGGCCCCTGTATTTACCAATTACACTTTCCAAATTAGATGATCTCCCACCAATCATATTTCAAGATGCAATCATTCTGCCAAATTCTAAAATAGAAATGCTAGGCCTCACCATTTCCTGTAATATGTCATGGAAGCCACACAGCCTCAACCTTGCTAAAGCTGCCTCCAGAAAGCTGGGAATGCTGTACAGATGCCGTAGCTACTTCCACTCCTGAGCAGTTGCTTTAAGTATATAAGGGATTCATTCGCCCTAACTTGGAATACTGCTCTCATATCTAGGGTGGCTCTTCTTCTGTCCAACTGTTAGATAGGGTGGAATCAAAGGCATTTCGTCTTATTGACTCTCCTCCTTTAGTTGATAATCTTTCTTCTCTTTCTCTTCACCGCAATGTTGCTTCACTCTCTTTTATAGGTACTGTAACAGGCAATGTTAGGTGGATTTGGCATCCTGTGTACTGCCGGCAGGCCGTGGGCTCATAACACTCGTCTTGCCCGCGGTGCCCAACATTTCTCTGTGGATGTCGGTCACACTAGAATAGCCCCTTATAGTTCATCCTTCTTTCCTCACACAGCCAAACTATGGAATGCTCTGCCTTCGTCTGTGTTTCCATACTCATACAATGTCTCACTTCAAAAAGCTGGTTTTCCGGCATCTTGGTGGTGTAGATTAATATAATCTTTTTCTTTTATATTTTTAATTTCTTTTTACTCTTATTTTTTTGCCCACCTAGGCCTCGTTGTGGGTAGATGACCTGTGCTCGGGTGGGCTATTAAAAAAAAACTCATGTGGAAAGTTATTGATATTTGACAACTACAGTGATCTATAATTTTACTTGATATCTAATGATTCACAATTGTTCTAATACTGCAACGGTGAAAATATTACCTGACACCAGGATACTCGCCAAGCGTGGCACACACCGTTGCTATCTGTTCAGCCATACGTTCTAGAGTGCTCTGCCGATTTTGAGCTTGTGAAGGACTGTAGTATGAAGGAAAAGCCTTGGGAAAGTCCAAAGAAAACACCTGTTGATGAAAATAACAAGAAATTAATGTTATAATCCAAGGAGGCCAAAATGAAGATCCAGTGCAGCACAGTACGGTATATACTGTATTCAATATATATATATATATATATATATGTATGTATGTATGTATGTATGTATGTATGTATGTACAGTATGTATGTATATAATATATATATATATATATATATATATATATATATATATATATATATATATATATATATATATATATATATATATATATATATATATATATATATATATATATATATATATAATATATTGTATATAGTATATTTATTTATTTATTTTTTATTTATTTATTTTTTTTTGAGCTTTCCGGGAAATTCCAGGAAAACTATCTCCATTCTGGACATAGTAAAAAGTTTCCGAGGATGAAATCAAGTGCATTTTCTGGAAAAATTCCAAGAAAATCTCTCCGTTCTGAGCATGGGAACAAATTTTCCAGGAGTTCCAAGAGACTGCATCATGTTCCGAAGCATCCCCATTTGCCGGGCACGTGGGTGGCCTAGTTGCTTGGGTAACTTAGGCTGCAGGATTGAGCGCTTAGTTCACATTCGGCAACCATTGTACAAGGGTGTTCCCTAGCTTGCTGATGCTTGTGCGTACAATTTGTGTTGTGTAGTAATGTGCTGTACATCATTGTACCAGAACACAAACAGCCAAGAATACAATGTTAAAGCAGTGTTAAGACATAAAAAGCGATTACTGTACAGTTACATATAATATTACAATACCTTCTCCTGAATCTCCTTAACAGACTTTAAAATCTGATGAACTATATTAAGTGTTTAAGTGCAGATCTCTGAGATAGTGACTCAAAATTAGTGTATTTGTGTACAGTACTGTATTACAGGTACAGTATATGACAAGTGCTGAAACATCTGCTCCTCACTACCTACATTCACTGTGTCTACACTACCTTCAGCATCAGGTTGAAACAAGGACAATTTATAATTTAAAGGCAAATAAAGAACATATGAAAACTTATACTAAAACATAATCAAGCAAAGGAATTAAAAAACAATGTAATAGGGTCAAATTTTTCAGAGTAAGACAAAGTTCTGTACAAGTGGTTTAAACAGAATTGCAGGGAGGATAAACCTATTTCAGCACTGTTGATTATACGAAAGACCAAGCAATTTCATGAAAAATTAGTACGGTATTGAAAAGCCTTGTGACTTTACTGAGCTGAATTTTCATATCCCTGGAAAATATCGCATATCTACAAAAATTTTGGGGCTTACTGGTGAATGTTTCCATGTCTAAACTACGCATCTGGCATGATTACTACAGAGGCTTAACTGCAGTCCAACAGACACAGAGCAATATTTATTTATGAAAACACTACTGTACACATACAATATTTTGTAAATAAACAAAATACTATACAGCTACTCCCCTACTTACGACCTACTCGACTTATGACCACCCGGACATACAACCGCCTCATTCGTACCAAAATTTTGTCAAATTACGTATTTTTGAGTCCCAACGTCAGTGATTGCGCTGTGTACTGACAAAATTTTCGTTTGAAATTCACTTTAAAATGGCTGGCAAGCATAAAAGTGAGAGTTGTGTGGTGCTGAGAAGAAAAAAGAGACATCCATTTTAGATTTTCTATGTATTATTTAAGCAATTTCGACTTACTACCTGGATTTGGGTCCCTAACCCCGTCGTAAGTCGGGGAGCAGCAGTACTCTCTACTGTACTGTACTCACCAGCAGATAGTACAATCATATTGAGTTTGCAATGCAGGCAAGCCAAATGGTGATATGATGAAACAGGATGGCCTGCTTTGTCCTCTACCATCTACTGTGGCAGCTTGGTGCCAGTTATTTTCTGTAGCTTTTGGCATTGTACACATGCTGTACTGTATAATGTACACACCTCTGCACACTAGCCTACAGTAAGTATACACTGTCCTCTCTGTTATGCACAGTACAGTGCTGTACAGTCACACTTACTGAATGTACAGTATAAGTACGTAACTGTAATAATCTTAACATTGCTTTAGTTGTATTCTTAGCTGATTGTATCATGGTACAGTAATGCACAGTACTGCATATCACAGACTGCATGCAATAACAGCAGAGTAAAGCAGACAAGCATTGATATATTTCCCAGATATATCAACCAATCACAGGCATCCCATGCAGTCACATGACAGTACAGTAGTAGCCAATCACAGCACAAGAGCCTATGATCTAACTTCCCCAAGCAGCTAGCTCACCCATATGCCTGTCACGTAACCATACATCAGTACTTGATGCAATCTCTTGAAAAAAATTTTGGATGCCTGGAACGGAGAAATTTTTCTCAGAATGTTTATTATTCTTTTATCCAGTTAATGAAAAGTTCTGGGGATCAAAGATTCCAGCTAAAGGGGATATTACTTATATTGCTTCTCAAGAACATACATCCATATTATTTGTCAAAAGATTATTACTGGTATGCAAAACAAAAGCAGATTTGTTAGCCATATTATTTATACAGTACTGTACATACTGGTACAGATTCTTGTGAAATATTGATTTAAGGGGATGTGTTTGGTCCCGACCTATTCTATAAAAATAGTATTTTTCTGTATTATTTATTTTTGTTTAAGCTTGCTACAATACTGTATCTCATTTGGTAGTACAGCAATTTATTACTTTTTCTGTCAAGTACAGGTACTATGTATAAAATTTAACTCCCCAGGAATATATCCTCACTCTTAACACAAAGTCCATGGCAAATACCATTCATATGGTACCAATTCATCACATTGCACTAACAATGTGTTTTTTAGTAATACATCTACAATGTAAACAGTGAACTTACTGTAGCTACTGAAAGAACCAAGTGATGCATCCCACTCAATTACCGGTATTCATGTAAGGTCTTCCAGTGGCAATGAGAAAGTTACCTAGTTGTCTGGCATAAAAAAAATTTGCCTTTATCTTTAATCTTTATGTTTAATGGATATCACGACTTTAAAATACAAAGTATATCACAACTGTTCGAATGAATTACCAAAGTCAAAACTCATGTAGAATGGACAATACCTCTTCACCCAGCATTAAGAGATGCCAATTTTTCTTTATTACTTTAGATTGTTACAGGAAATGTGAATCTCAAAATGTTACAGTATTAGGATTTGACGCTATATTTCAACACTACAGTAGTTCACTGGGTGAGAAGCTGCTCACAGCACTTACACTCGTCCATCTATATAGTGATATCTACCACTAGAGCAAGCCAAGCCCCTGATGAGAACTGGGTGCTCCAGTAGAAGAATTACATGTCACTCAATGACCTGTAGGCTACAAAAAGAGAGTGCAAATGGAAAAGGATTGAGAAAGAAGAGGAAGAGGATGAATAGGAAAAGGTAAAGGAGAAGGAAAAGGAACAAGAGTAAGATGAAGAAAAGATGGAGATCAAAGCTGATTGTAAGTTGTTGTTGGTGGTGGTGATGGTGGTGGTTAGTTGGTAGTAGGTGGGTAGTTGCTAGGTGAATGACTTATGATGGTATTTGGTTAGTTAGTGGATGGATGCTAGCTGGTTATTGGGTGGTTGGTAAGTAGTTTTTAGATACATGTACTGTACTTTAATAGATAACTGGTGATGATGTAAGTATTGATAATAATAGTATTGTTAAATGACAGGTATTAAAGAAAGAAGAGGTGGAGAAGGAATTGTATGAGGAAGGAAGATAAGAAGAGAAAAGGGTTGGACAGGCTAATGATGTCAAAATAGTATGTCAGGAGATAAAGGAGGTCACTGAGGAAAGAAAGAGGCAAAGCAGAAGAGCTCATAAAGAATTTTAACAGTCTCAAGGGTTTTATGAATCAATACTTAATGAAATTTTTTACTCATCTACTGATCATGATGGACAATGATAATGATGGATGACAATAGAGCTGATACCTCTTGTATTTAAAAAAAAAAAAAAAAAAAGACAGGCAAAAAATGGATCCTATGTTTAGGTTGATATGATAAATACCTGGCATTCATATGGCAAAAAGGCAATGTTGATTTCCTTAAGTGTCTTGATGTACTTAGCAACATGTTGCTTACACAGCTCATTAAACAACTCATTCGGACACGCTGTAAGATAAAAAAGAGAGTATCACTTAGATATCTTTATTAGTTATTTTTCTAAATAATTATCAACATGAAGTAATCGTCTTGCATACTAATGGTAATGTATAATTCTGGATATGTTGGGGTGGTTCATAAGCACTTCTCAGAGGGCTTCTGCCTTCATGTTTCTGCACATTAATTCTTGCTAACATTTCTCTCACAAATATACTCCCTTCTAATATTTTGTTTCATCAAAGATCTCTCTCTCTCTTCCTACTTCCACCATCACAGTCAACAATCGTTTTTATAAACAGTAATGTTTCAGTATTTCATAAGGATTGGGTCTAACCCTACTGTATTAAACTACAGGTACTGTAGTGAATTCTATGAAATAGCAAGAGTACAATACTGTACTGTACTGTAGTTCCCCTGGCCAACCACTACAAATAGACTACAACTGCATGAATATACCTAATAAGCAATATCAAACATTAATGCAAGTACAGTACAATATTGTAGTAAAGACCACGTGAATTGCAAGGTTAAGTTACTGTAACAGTAAAAGGTCATAGTAACTGATTTTCTAAACAATTACTGTAAATGTAATGTGCATGGGAAAATTAGATGGGGGTCCCACCATGGTCTAGTCTTCACTAAGCATACAAATAAATATTCTAAAATAAAGTTTAATAAATTACTGGTCCTTTATATAAGACATCTGTGCCACCACCACTATGAAATATCCCAAACTACAGAATTCTACAGAGAGATATACAGTAGTAGACTACTGCATTCGTTTAGGCATATCTCTTTTGGCTACTAAAACTGAGCAAAATATTTGCATGCCTCCCTATTTTTTTTCCTTTTGCATCCTCCAGTACTGTACAGTATTAGATGTTCATGATAAATAACATATGAGCTGAAAGATCTGTATGATGGCATGGATATAAATTTAATTTTGATTTGGTTGACTAAAGTGAAGACAAAATAAAAAGAACAAGGGTAGTCTCAGCTAATGGGA